ATTCTAAAATATTTAATCGACTACTTGTTAAAGGATTTGCTAGATATTTCATTACTTTATGAACCTTCATTTGTAATGAACTTATTTCTTTCAAACCTGCTTTGACAATAAGATTAAAGATATGGCACATATATCCTAAAAAAAAAAATCAAAATAATAAAATTAAAAAAAATTAAAAATAAAAATAAAAAAATAAAAAATAATAAAATACTATTTTATCTAGATAAAAATAGAATTTCTTTAAAATAAAAATAATAATTAAAATTAAATCAAACCTATAGATACTAATTTTATATTTGGTAATTCACTTTGAAGCATTCGACTTACTGCTTTGTTAGTTGTAGTATTATCCATAGTAAGGCCAAAAATTTTTTCTTTAATAGAGTAATTTTCTAATGTATTCATTATTACTGATGTTATATCTTTTGCAGTTTGTCCTGATTTTTTAAAATCTAAAGTAATATTAACAATTCTCCAGTCTTCACTTATTCAGAATCCTGTAATGACAATATAATGGCATTTATGAACTGTAGAATGCCATCCGTCACAAGTTAATGAAATTTGTCTAGAAAATGTTGCTAGCATATTTTTTATAAACATGAATCTTTTATTAAATAAGTTACCAGTAATATGTCGTGATATTGTTGTTGGATATGGGATTTTGTATGAATTAACAATATAGTGAAGTTGTTTTGCCATTTTATGAAATAAGGGATTATTAAGAATATTAAAGGACATGCCTGTCCTAACAATCAAATCAACAATTGAGCTATCAACATCATCTTTTGTGACTAGTTTAAATGGATTACCTTCTGCAGTATTTAATGGAGAACTTGGACATGACATAGTATGCTTTTTTAAATGAGTTTTACTTGTATTTATTGAATATACCTTAGATTCACAATGCTGACATCTCATAACTGTTTAATTATTATGTGATACTAGTGCCTAGTAATCTTTAGTAGAGTACTTTTTACTAACTATTTCAGTACCAATATCGATTGATACAGAACTACTAGATATAGATTCATCAGAAGATACTATTAAATCTTCCATTAGCAAGTTATTAAACTAAAAATAATATAATATAAAAAGCAAAATATATATAAAAGTTTTTTTATGTATTTTAATGATATTTTATATTTTTTTTCTATATCTTTAACTCGATTCTTGTTAATATTTAATTTAATCATTTATTTAATATTTTTGACTACTTATTTAATATAATCATTTATTTAATATACTCACCAAAGTTAATCATTTTAGAATACAAAAAAAAATAGCCTATTTAGTATTTAACTTGTCACTTATCAATCAGTTGCTTATTTAATATTTTTGACTACTTATCTAATATAATTGTTTATTTAATATACTTACCAAAGTTAATTATTTTAGAATACAAAAAAAATAGCTTATTTAGTATTTAACTTGTCATTTATTAATTAGTCACTTATTTAATATTTGAAATCTTTTTTAACAAGATAATCCTTTAAAACTATGATTTAAATAGTCTCAAAAAATTATTTTATTAGCAAAAATTTTATTTAACTTGATTAATTATTTAACATTACTGTTTATTTAGCATCTAACTTGATCAAATATATCTAACTCAATTACTTATTTAATTCATTATTTATTTAATATTTAATCTAGTTTATTTTTTTTATTTAATACTTAATTTAATTGCTTGCCTTATTTAATATTTAGCTAATAATAAAGTATACCTACTTGGGTTCTACAATAATATTTAGCTCAATTAGTGATCTCTTATGTGGTATTTAACTTGATATTTCACAATATAATCTTTTATTTAACTTGATCAAGATTTGTTACGGTTATAAGAAATTAGATTTAATATAATAAAGTTAACTTATTTGATAGACTTTATTTGATAAGTATTACAATTTTATTAAAATTTAAAATTTGTTGAATGTTAAGTAAAAAAATCTATATTTTATTTATATTAAAGAACATATGTCAATTTTTTCGTGAAAAAATACTTATATACTTTTTTTTTTTTTTTTTTTTTTTTTTTTTTTATTTATTAATAATATCAAAATAGGAAAAGAATTAGTACATTTGTAT